ATACAAAGAAGTAATACAGGTGTTTGATAACCTCCCAGCACAACATCCAATACAAAGAAGTAATACAGGTGTTTGATAACCTCCCAGCACAACATCCAATACAAAGAAGTAATACAGGGGTTTGATAACCTCCCAGCACAACATCCAATACTAAGAAGTAATACAGGTGTTTGATAACCTCTCAGTACAACATCTAATACAAAAAAGTAATACAGGGTGAAGTAATACAGGTGTTTAATAACTTCCCTTCATTGTAGCCACTACAAAGAAGTAATACAAGGTGTAGTACAGGTGTTTGATATCCTCCCAGCACAACAGCCACTACAAATAAATAATACATGGTGAAGTTTAGGCACTTCATAACTTCCCAGCATATACATAAGTACAGAGAACTGGCTTCAATACACGTTCGTATGTGTTTGTTCAGCAAAAACCGTGTTTTATCCTGCAATTCTGAACACGGTGTCATGTAGCATAATTCTGACAGACAGCTTGAGTGTACTACTATTCGTTTAATAGTGGTTTTATCTCTTTATTCATGAGAAAATATATCAATATTTCTATTTTTCGATGCTACATTTTACTACGTGTACACACACACTTAAATACTTAAAACTAGTGTATACAAAACACATACATATAACAGTTATAAATCAGACCATACTTTAACAGCTTAAAAGAAGTAGCGATATTGCCAATCACATCAAATCGTTGATTGTTAGAAAATACGATAATATAATAAAAGTAATACAGAATTGTCCACCCAGTGGGTCAGCAGTAAGCAGGCGAGCTTACAATGCTAAAATCTGGGGCTCGATTCCCCCCGGTGGATACGGCAGATAGCCCAATGTGGCTTTGCTTTAAAAAAAAAGAAGCAAAACAGAAAAACATTGCAAAATATTTATATCCACTGCCCAACTAAACCAGGGTTTACAAGTTACAGAATAACTTTGAAACACTGAACAATAAATATAATCAAATATTGATAATGCTACCATTTTCCCAGATTAGCTACCCCTTCGTCTACTACGACAATTTCTGTACTCAGTTCAATAGTTTTGTGTTTATCATTACAGGCTTCGTGGCGTGTCTGCGAGTAAATTTATAGCCACGCCACTGTTGTTAGAGGAAGAAATGGCTGTCCACGTGCTTTTTGTAAGAGGAAAAAGAGTTCTATTATATGGCTTCAGGATGTCTCTTACTTATGTAATCCCCCTTTTGAGTCCTTGCGGTCTTCATATTCCCTACAAATATATCTAAACGCATACAGTATGCGTTATTCCCATGCTTATTCACCATGCGTTATTTCCATGATTCACAGTTTTCTAATTGGATGTATCTAACGTAACGAAGAGCGCCACACATTGGCGACTTTCAGACGACACCAAGCTCAGATTAACTAAAGGCCAACAACATAGTTATCAGCACTGACGGTCTAGTAACCTTTACCTCCCAAAAACTGTGTCTGTGTGAACTATTGAACTTTTTTGCTTTATCTTATTTGTCTCGTTCCCATAGCATTTTGTCGACATTGTTAACTGTGTGGGTTTAGTTTATCTTTTCCGCCATTGATATATCTTTGTCTTATCTCTCAAGTTTCAGTTCCAAATACGTATCTTAAAATAAATTTCAGAAGGTGCTTTGTCAGATAAACGTTCCAAAGACTGTATTAAGTTAAAAAGTATATCACGATTAGTTAGGTTAATTTGGCATGATCAGGTTAGGTATACTAAATAGAACTTAAAGTACATTTCAATTTAGATATTTATGATACAATACCTGTGAAAAAACTGTACATGGTTGAACGGTTAAGTTACTTTGAGATTGCATTGTTTGAAGAAAAAAAGAGTTCAACCTAATCAAACACGTGGGGGGAGAAGTTACAATACGTTTAACTGTACACCAGTGTACTTAAATATTCTGTTTTTGCTTTTAATATAAAAAAAATACTTCTTTAATTTTGTGCCGATTGATATTGTTTACTCTGAGAACTTTGTTGAAAAACGCGAATGAGGGGAGGCTTGTAAGTTCTCTTTCCATTAGTTTTCTTACCCACTAGCGGTAAGTCTGAGGGCTTATAACGCCAAACATCGGGTTTCGATACCTGTGCTGGGTAAAGCACAATATCTCATTCGTTTAAAAGCAAACAAAAGTCGTGTTGAAAGTTGTTTTTTTTTTTGGTTTCTCTAATGTAAAAGTAATCACAACCTTCACAATTAATTTGGTACACTGATCCAGGTGATCATGATGATTTTTAGAAAGAAGTTGAACTGGTATTGGACCTAATCAAAACAAAAAAAATTGGATTATTACTTTATTTGTTTGCTATCTGTGCCCTGCTAACCGCTGGTATCAAAATTCGATTTTTAACGTTATGAGCCCTCATCTTTACCGCTAAGCCATCGAATGAGGGGTCTGAAATATTAGCTGCATTTCACAATTCTTAATAATCTTTCATGGTATGGAAAATTTAGGGATAGAATAGTATAACACAAAGTCTTGGAGACTTTTCAAAATTTGGTAGATTTTCATCTTTGATGTGAGTTTTGCAGGTGAAACTTTTTGTTATTAACTACGTTAGAATGAAAATTATCGTACAAGATAAACTTTGACCTGAAAATGTTATTTTATGTATGAAAACCTCGTTGAATCGAACATATATATATATTTTTCTATAAAAAAAAGTTTTTATGATCCTAATTTCAGAATATAATATATTAACCTGCATGTGCCTTTGCAAAAACAAATCCAAAAAACAGACGTGTGATACCTAAAACTTATAATTTTTTCTTTCAACAAGAGCTTAAGAAAGATAGTTAGCAGCGAATCTAGCAATTAAAGTTAGAATGTAATGAATCTTTCAAAACTGTAAAAAATATCATCCACGTATCACATCTAGAAAACAGAGAGAGGGGGTGGGGAGGAGTGAAAAGTTAAGTTGAAATGCTAATTTGTTCTATCATAAATAATTAATTTAATACAGGGTCCATATGATTTTCCATTTTTACTTCTCCAGTTTCAACGTGGTTTGTCTCCTCAGTGGTAGTTTCCTAGGCTCAGATTCGAACCGAAAAACTCCGACATCGGTCGAATATTCTACCAGTAGATAAGAGGATATTCACCTAAGATATCGATGACGAAGTAACACTAAATCTCTTACATTTTAAATGAAGTAATAAGACTGGACACAAAGTGTAATACAAAATTCACAATCTTTATTAAACATTAAATACACACACATAGTGTATATACTGTCTCCATGACTGGATACCTTTTGTAGTTAACTCTTTCTTTCGTACTGAATAAATCAACATGATGCTCTAGACTATACTGAACAAATGTAACGTTTCTTAGCATTTACCCAGGGCGACTAGCGTCTCCACGTGACATGGTCATTCTCAGTACAAAACAGGTGGGGTTGTAACCTCTATATATCATCTGAACTACCGTTGAAGGACACTGCTCTCAACATCCTTACATAATGTGTAGTATTGCGAAATATCCTTTCAGGGCGTAACAGGTATTATCCACTTCGAGTACAACAAAAGAACAAAGGTTGCTTAGAACAAATCAATTGAAAGGCTTTCTCGACCACGTGCTACGTGAAACCTGCATCTATAAAAAAACAACAATAAATTCAAAACAAATTATATGATATTATAAAAAAAAGATAGAATCGTATCGTATATGATATAATCAAATACTACAAAGTATATTTATTATTAATTGTTGATACTGGAGTTACGTTATCGTTTATTGTTTAACAGTATATGTTTATTTATTTGCATTGTTGATCTTGTAGCTTGTACTAACGTCCATTGTTTTGCAGTATGCTACGCAATAGAGATTTAATAACCTTCACTCTCAAAATATAAAAACTGTTTTGTTTTAATTTAAAACGAAAATGCACACATTTTCAGCCATGAGCCTTTTTCAGGTTCCCCGTCACACCAAACATGCTCGCCCTTTCAGTCGTGGGGGCGTTATAATGTGACGGTCAGTCCCATTATTTGTTGGTAAAAGAGTAGCCCAAGAGTTGGCGGTGGGTGGTGATGACTAGTTGCCTTCCCTCTGGTCATACACTGCTCGTGTAGCCCTCGTGTAGCTTTGCGCGAAATTCAAAACAAACAAACAAACAAAACTTCATCAGGTGATAACTTTACAAAAGAGACGTACATAGATTATGACAATATAATGGAAATAACAACAGAAAAAATTGACTATAAATTCGACTAAAATGTCATTAAAGATTGGTATATTTTATTTATTATTATATACTGTGTGAACCAATTTAAAGTGGATATTTTTTTCTTCTAATGAACTGTAAAGCTAGCTAGCACCCGAAGAAAGCTTATGGCCTCAAATTCGCGCATGGCTAAAAAAAGCAATACAAGTTTTATATTTAGAGAGTGAAAACCATTAAATCTCTACAACATGGCGAACCGTACTCTCAGAAAGGTATTAGAGAAATAAGAACGAATATTCTGCTGTGTGTTGTACACATTCATGATTCCGTCTTTGTCATGTCTTATCTTTAATATTCGCTATTATTCATTGTATTTGTCTGCGGATGACACAATTTAAAATGAATGACATTTCAGTTTTTTTCTATGTCATAAAACTTATAACAAAAATCAGTCTTGTTCAAGGCATCGATTTTCTCCTTAATTCCTTACCTATATCATTTTTGAAATATATCTATGTATAATCTATTTATATCTGTATTTCCTCGTTATATTACTTGTACAGCTGTCTACTTATCTTTCTGTTAGTAATATTACCTATATGGTTGTTTAGAGCGTGCATACGGGTCTTACTGAATCAGGAATTGCACACCCTACCAGACATTCTCGAAATCATATTAATCAAAACAAAAATAGCAAGAATATACGTAGATTTCTCTTTCAGTTTTGTTTTTAACCTAAAATGGTTGTGTTATTTATTGGGGGGGGGGAACAAACGTCTTATTTCAATAAACAATTGAAGAGTGTCAAAAAACAAAGTTGTGTGAAACATCACTCACGCGGAATTTCGTAAAGCTATGAAACACGGCACCCATCACGTCGCGTCACATGAAATACGTGTGAAAAGTCACATCTCTACGTTCTTGCACAAACTTGAAATCCGTGACACACTCGGACTCAGTGATATCTCTCTTTTATGTAAGTTTTAAAGTCTAACCAGTTAACTTATTTATTAAAACGTAGAAAAAGCTTCTGCACTCTACAACTAAATTTCTTAAAATACAACTATTACATGACTTGCAATCTACTCAAAACCAGGCCCGGCATGGCCAGGTGGCTAGGGCGCTCGACTCGCAATCAGAGGGTCGCGGGTTCGAATCCCAGCACCACCAGACATGCTCGCCCTTTCAGCCGTGGTTATTCGTTGGTAAAAGAGTAGCCCAAGAGTTGACGGTGAGTGGGGATGACTAGCTGCCTTGCTTTGCGCGAAATTCAAAAACAAACAAACTCAAAACCATCGTGATCCACCAGTGATCTGGTTATAATGGAGTCTCAGATCCAAACAACCGAAATTTTTACACTGTCTGTGAATAATTTGACCTGCACTTTACCGGTATCAACAAACAAATACATTATGTATCTATGTCATACTTCTGGTAATTCAGAACCAGATGTCACACATCTAGCTATCTATCTGAGAGTCTTTTTGCATCGTTATAAAGTATGTTAGATTATCAACAACTAAAAATGCTGAAAAAATTTATAACGAAAATTAAATTTTATAATTAATTTGCATAATTAAATGCATTTGAGTAGGAAAGAAAATTTTCATTACCAGTTCAAAGTTTTCTCTCTGTGTGTTCCCCAGTGACTCGGCGGTAAGTCTGAGGGCTCACACCGCTGAAAATCGAGTTAGGCACAGCACAGATAACCGATCGTGTAGTTTTGCGCTTAACAACAAAGAAACAAACTCTCCTGTGTTGTATATGTTTTAATCTGTCGAAAAAAATTGTGAAGAAATAACTAGTTTTTTTTTTGTGATACAGCAATGTAATGTAATCCATATCAAACAATAGCTGATGACTACAATTTACTGCCTTGACATGTGTAAGAAGACGATTTGTAACTACTGACTTTTCTTTTAGTTTTATTGGGTGGTATATTAGTTTGAAGAGGAAACTTGGTGAGCGTTGTTGTAACATGTTCTACCGTTTTGGATTATTTGGTAAGAAATAACACTCTTTATTCCTAACGATATTGAATTAAATCATTTCTTCTATAACGTTTCTCCAGTGACTCAATGGTAAGTCTGGGAGTTTATAATGCTAAAAATCAGGTTTCGATACCCACGATTAGTTGAACATGGATAGCTCATTGTGTAACTTTGCACTTAACAACAAAACCAACAATCTTCAACAACTGAATAGAGTTGTTTAAACATTTGTTTAACAACAAGTAAAAACTTGGAATGGTTTACTAAATTGTGGCGGAATGCAACAAGTTCTTCAAACACCTATAGAATGATAGGTTTTTTTTTGTGAGTGTAAAACACTTAAATACACCCTTTCAATCTTCAATAACGTTTATTACTATCTACGTTCGATTTGACACAGGTAGTAGGCACTTCACAAACAACGTTTCAAAACAAATCCTGAGACTAATGATACTACGCTAACTTACTTATAAACTTAAGCGATAAGCCTCACTGTCAAACTGACACTCAACTAACTCACTCATTGATCATCTATTAATCACTTAACATTCATTAACTTACATTTTCACTGAGTCTGGTATTTATTCGTACTCCTTTTCTACTTAATACACGAAATGTCTAGATCTTAACGTCATGCGCCCTCTAGCAAACAAACATTTAAATAAAAAATAATAAAAAGAATGCTTACAATAATGCTTTAAGAATTTGTTACTTTTAGAATATATATATATATCCATTTTTATCATCATGCGAAAAATTAGCTTACTTTTTTTTTTGGCTGATGCCATAAACCTCTAGGGACCGTGGACAGTAACTGGAAGTTAAGGTTTAATTTCTCCATTTTGTTTTTCACTTACGAGTGGTTGATCTGGAGAACCTTGAATAACGCTGCACTGGTTTTAATTCCATAGAGGAATTCTGCTCTTTGTACCTCTTGTCTTCCTGGCAGAAATTTCAAGGGTAACGTTATACATATACTGTTATTATTTCAAGGGTAACGTTATACATATATTGTTATTATTTACGAAATTTCAAGGGTAACGTTATACATATATTGTTATTATTTACGAAAGTTCAAGGGTAACGTTATACATATATTGTTATTATTTACGAAAGTTCAAGGGTAACGTTATACATATATTTTTATCACTTACGTTTTGTGTTTTTGTTTGGTTTCAGCGAACAAAGCTGACATGTTAGAACAGCACCTAATTATCAAACTCAAACACACTAGCAGATTTATGTTTGAATGACACGTGTAGAATAAGTACAGGTAAAAATATCTGTAACATTGCAACACACACAATTACGTTGGTCATTCTATCTGTGTCACTCCAAACTCCATTCCATTAGTGTGTATTCGTGCGTTTGAGAATTTTACATATATTTTATTTGTAGAGTGTGTCACCTTAAGTTACTTATTCTACCTGTGTCATTCCAAACAATGTTCCACTAGTGAGAACACGTGTTTAAGAATTTTACAGATATTTTTACATGTAGTTATTTTACACGTGTCACTTCAACCACCGTTTTGCTAGTGTATAGGTGACACACTCTACAAATAAAAATATATGTAAAATTCTGAAATACACACAAACACATTAGCGGAATGTTGCCTGGGGTTACAAAACTAGAATAGTGAATTTAAGGTGAATCCAGAAAAGCGACTCTTAAAGTGACCATATTCTATAAGGAAAACTATATTTATTCATATATATAACTCTGAAACATACAGACACGCGTTATGTACCAACTGTTAATACGTGGCAGGTTGTAGCAGCTTTGGAATATTTTGTACACATACAATGTCATACATATTTGAGTTCACGTACATATTAAAAATGTTTACATCATATTCTGAAATCTTAGGTTACTTGACGTTTCAATCTGTTCTACAGAACACTTTAATATCTCCTCTTTTAGACATGACGTGGATGGAGAATTACGAAAAAGAAAAATTAACCCGGATACACGGGGCTGCTGTTCAGTGTGAAATTCAGTTTGACTAAAGTTCAAGTTCAAATGAAGTATAGGATCCGCCAAGCACATATGTGAGAATTAAATTTGCCGAATAGTGTAGAAGTTTTTAAACGGGATTCATAATACCAAGTTTGGAAAGAAAATAAATAGTTCTTTGTTTAGAAGAAAACAGATAATCAAATGCATCATTTACTAAGCCACATATTTTAAATCTGTATGTTTATCCACATCTAAGTTTAATACAATTTTCGTATGTATTAGATCAGTATTTCCACTGTATATTTTATTGATGAAATCTCCGCTACTGTACTTTTAATGTTGTGTTTGCTGTCAACTTTGTTTTTTCACTCTAGAACTGGTTTACACTAAATCAACCAGTTAACCTAATTTCTGTGACCGCCAAGACACAACTTGAACGTTATCCCAGAACGTCGGTTTTATGGGATATGTCAAGCCTGGTGAGTTAAGCCTTATCTGTTGTCTAGTAATTAAGCAAGAAAGCTAAAACTTTTGTCGGAAAATATTTATCATACTTGAAGGACACAACAATTAAGTTTTGTGGTCCAACCTTAAGGTGCAGAAAGTATAACGTACCAACAGTCTGCACCAAGCACCCTATCGCAACAAGGGCTTTTATTAGGTGTTGTTAATGACTAATTTCTCACTTGATTTGTTTCTATCGAAACTCATCCTCTGCATTCGTTTCAAAAGAAGCACGCGATAAAGTTCTGTGTTTCAAAGCCCCTTATACTTTGCATTAGTTTCAAATGAAACATTTGACGAAAGCAAGGTTTCAGCTTAAATCTTATTTTTCCATGTGGACGTTTCAGGGATTTTCAATACAAGCAGTAGGTGCTGGCATGTTCTTGGAAAGTAGCCAGCTTCTCTGTTATCAATACGTAGGTCTCACTCTTTATTAAACTACTAACATAAAATACCCACGCTCCGCTGTGGGATTCTAAGGTCCCCTCATGATTTCATGATTCACAGAGGTCTCAGTGTACCAGTCAAGCGTCTCCATTATCTCAGTTACTTCTGTAACTACCCCAATTCGCTAATTATGTTGCCATTTCCCGAACGTCATTCAATTCAACTCTTTTTAAAAGCAAATAGTTTTAATTTAGCTTCTCAGATTCCATTTATTTCTTTCTGTGGTTTTATTTGAGTTCTTTTCATTCTCCGATTTTCTCTGATCCATATTTTTCTTCCCGTTGTTTGTTGCCGTTTACCGAACTTAGTTCTATTCAACTTTTTTTTCTAGTTCTCAGATTTGTATTTTTCTTCCTATCTTTGTGTTTACAAAGTATTTGGCAGAAAATCTCCACATATTGTTCATTCGGTAACTGAGGATTAGAAAGAAAAAAAAACTTTTCAGGAAGCAAAATTTTGGGGCTTAAAGACTATAGGGCAAAAAATTGGCCAAAAGTTTTTTGAGTCAAATCTAAAAAATAATATCCAGGTGCACACCCTCAGAATCCCCTTAGTACGCGTGCAAAGTTTCAGGTTTTTAGGTTCTTTTACTTTTGGAGCTATGGCGGTCACACACGCACAGACATAGGCTCTTTTATTATTATAGATTTATGTAAGTAATAGAATCACATTCGACAATAAGTAATAGTGGAAGACGTCCACATGCTGATCCGTTGCTATAAGTTCGGGTTGTTGGTACAATTTGGATGTGCAATCTTACAATATTTGGAAAACGTATATTTGAATTATAAAATATTACAGACAAGACAGCATTTAGTACAGATATGGCTCTTACGAAAAAGGACACATTTTATAAAAGCAGAATTGAATGTTTAACTCAAAGATAAAAATCTAGACATTGAAAAAAAAGTACAGCGTTTTATGAGCTAATAATTTTATGATCCAATTTCCTAGCTAAATTGCTATTACATGCAGCCAAAAGCCATAATAATTCACAGAATCCTTGTGTTTGGATCGTGTAAGTATTCGAAAATGTTCAAAGCTACACGAGCATTGCATGTGATGATTTTCATACACTCTCTAGTATTAAATAACGTTCAACTGTTTATTATAGAAGGATAAACAACCACAGATAAGTTAAACTCATTTGAGATTATGTAGTACATAAGTTAACGTCACAGGTTTAAAAAATTAACGTTTACTTCTGGGACATTTCCTGACTGGTCTGACGTTTCGGCTTACGTCTTCTTTACAGACGCTTCACCACACGTACAACAATAGTCTGGCGTTTCCGCTTACGTCTTCCTCACAGACGTTTCACTACATGCACAACAGTAGTCTGACGTTTCGGCTTACGTCTTTCTCACAGACGCTGCACCACATCTACAACAATAGTCTGACGTTTTGGCTTACGTCTTCCTCACAAACGCTTCACTGCACGTATGACAATGGTAAAATGTTTAATCTACAACATTAATAACATTTCTAGAAAATGATGAACTGCACTAGTACGTGAAAGTGTCACAACCTATATATATCCCACGTAAATAGTACTGTGTAAAATATGTTGTGCTACGAAAACTTATATAGTTTTTCAAGTTCTTATTTAAATTGCGACATTATGAAACTATATAGATTATAGGTCAAAGGTTACTGTACTAAAATACAAAATTTAAAAAAAAATTACAAACATAATTGTAACAAACCTATTATAATAATATTTAGTTTTGTCTGTTCTGAAATTGCACGCACACTTTATTCAACGGATGTAAACAAAAGGCAAATGTAAATATACTTCAGTAGACATTTTAAAAGTTATCAAAGGTTTTAAAAAGGTCTATCGTTAGGTCGTAAAATAACATTATAAGTGTATTTATTGATTGTATTAAGTACGGTAAAGTTTGGCCCTAACTAAACTAAAGCAAAAACGAACACAAATTACAGTATTAATTTATCTCTTTATCGAGTATAGGCCGTACTTTTAATAAAGGGTTAATTAATGTTAGGCCTTAGACAAGTGGATTTGTATATTATGGAGTGTGCGATTACAATTTTTTTCTATTATTCTAGAAATCCTGTATTTAAATAAGTACCGCTGGAATAAAGATAGTCATTTAACCGCAAACGTTTAGCGGGTCTATGTATTTAATACATGATGATATTGTGTGGATTAATAGAAATTAAACACAGTTTGACAGCAATAT